CGGCTAGTTTTTTGTATTTTTTTAGTAGAGACGGGGTTTCACCGTGTTAGCCAGGATGGTCTCGATCTCCCGACGTCGTGATCCGCCCGTCTCGGCCTCCCAAAGTGCTGGGATTACAGGCTTGAGCCACCACGCCCGGCCGAGATATTGTTAAAATGAGAATTCTGACACAGTATTGGTCTGGGGTGAGATTTTGGATTTTTTTTTTTGAAACAGGGTCTCGCTGTCACCCAAGCTGGAGTGTAGTGGTACAATCATGGCTCACTGCAGTCTCAACCTCCCAGGCTCAGGTGACCCTCCCACTTCAGTGTCCTGAATATCTGGGACCACAGGTGCATGCCACTGTACCTGGCTAATTTTTAAATTTTTTGTAAAGGCGGGGTTGCACTATGTTGCCCAGGCTGGTCTCAAACTTGTGGGCTCAAGTGATCCTCCCACCTTGGCCTCCCAAAGTGTTGAGATTACAGGCATGAGCCACTGAGCCCAGCCAATTGTGGATTTTTTTTTTTTTTGAGATGGAGTTTCACTATTGTCGCTCAGGCTGGAGTGTAATGGCATGATCTTGGCTCACCACAACCTCCGCTTCCCAGGTTTAAGCGATTCTCCTGCCTCAGCCTCCAGAGTAGCTGGGATTATAGGTATGCACCACCACACCCAGCTAATTTTGTATTTTTAGTAGAGACAGGGTTTCTCCATGTTGGTCAGGCTGGTCTTGAACTCCCGACCTCAGGTGATCCACCTGCCTCGGCCTCCCAAAGTGCTAGGATTACAGGTGTGAGCCACCACACCTGGCTGATATTTTTCTTTTTAAGATGGAGTCTTGCTCTGTCACCCAAGCTAGAGTGCAGTGGCATGATCTTGGCTCACTGCAACCTCTGCCTCCTGGCTTCAAGCAATTCTCCTGCCTCAGCCTCCCGAGTAGCTGGAATTACAGGCACCCACCACCACACCTGGCTAATTTTTTGTATTTTTAGTAGAGACCGGGTTTCACTATGTTAGCCAAGCTGCTCTCGAACTCCTGATCTCCAGTGATCTGCCTGCTTTGGCCTCCCAAAGTGCTAGAGTTACAGGTATGAGCCACCAGGCCTGGCTGCAATTGTGAATTTTTAATACAGTAATGCAAATGCTTCAGGGCCTCAGAAACACACTTCAGGTAGCAAGGGTTTGCATACTTTATTGTCCCGAAAAGGATTTTGGGTGTCTTACAAAATGGTGCATGCCAAAATGAAGTGTCTTAGCAGTGCTGGAGGGTAAAGCTTGGGAACAGATTGCAGTGAATCATTTATGATAACTCATCTTTTATACAAGGTAAGAAAGTGTCTGACGGGGAATGTGAGAATAGCGTGGAGGATGGTGAGATTTGAGGGTGGAGAGTCTAGCCTAGTGAAACCAGGTGGGGAAATGGGTGGTGGCTGTGAGGATGGAGAGAAGTGGATGAGATTCAGATACACAGAGGAAGAATAAAGTGACTGATTAAGAGTGGGGTGAGAGAAAGTGTAAACTAGGATAATTTTCAGTCTTTTGGCTTGAGAGTCTTGGTGGCTAGTAGCACCAACTAATATGATAGGGAAAACAAGAAGAGCAGCATATCTTATGTGAGAGAATGAATAATATGTGTCCAGATGGAGCACAGTAGGAAGCTAGATATACTGAAGCCATGGGGAGAACTCTGCGTTAGTGGCTCAAATTTGGGTGGTGTGAAATTCAAGAGTGTGGGGATGGGCTAGGATTGGTGGCTCACACCTGTTAATTCCAGCATTTTGGGAGGCTGAGGTGGGAGGACTGCTTGAGCCCAGGAGTTCAAGACCTGGGCAATACAGCAAGACCCTATCTCCATTTATAACTAAATAAATGTGGGATGAGATCATCTGGGGAGAAGATACAGTATAGAAACCTGGGCATATCAACATTTATTTATTTAAAAGGTAGTAGAGAAAAATAATTCACCAAAAGAGACTGAGAAAGATGAGTCGGAAATAGGAGAATCAGGAGAAAAGTATCAAAGATTTTCAAGAACGGTCATTGTGGAAGTGAGGTCTTCCTTCTATTAATCTCTACCACAAAATAACAGCCGCAGTTACTACTACTATAATGACTACTGCTTGCAGCTAACTCTTCTGGAGTCACTGTGTGCTGTAAGAGCTGGGGAATACGTAGCTGGCTTTAGAGAGAAAGCCAGATTCATCATCCATGCAATCTGGATGAAGAAACAAGAATTTAAATCAAAGGGTCAATACTAATTACTGGCTGGGCAAGGTGGTTCATGCCTGTAATCCCAGCACTCTGGGAGGCTGAGGCAGGCGAATCATTTGAGGTCAGGAGTTCAAGACCAGCCTGGCAAACATGGAGAAACCCCATCTCTACTAAAAATACAAAAATTAGCCAAGTGGTGGTGTGCGCCTGTAATCCCAGCTACTTGGGAGGCTGAGGTAGGAGAATTGCTTGAACTCAGGAGGCAGAGGTTGCAGTGAGGCAAGATGGCACCACTGCACTCCAGCCTAAGCAACAGAGTGAGACTCCGTCTCATTAAAAAATAAAAACCAACTAATTACCTATTAGAATATTGGAAGTGTTTAAAAATACCTATGCCCAGGCCCCACCCCCAGATATCTGATTAAACCTATAAGGAAATACCAGGCCTCTGTTTTCAGGCAAATTACTCTGGATTCACATTTAAGCGTTTGATTCATGATCTTCTTTTCCAAATTAGGTGTTGAAGCCCAGGGTCATGCCTTTTATTGGAGGTGGTCTTAACACACTTAAGTTTTTGATACTTAAAACCACCTTTCTCTCACCCATTGCCTAAAGGAGAGGATGGAGGCACATGAACCTGCCTGTTTGCAAATGACAAATCACTGAGGATAAATGGAAAATGCAGTATTACCAGAGCCCCTCACTATAGGGGGCAGGGTCCACTGGGAAGACATCATAACCAGTTGTATGTCTTGGTAGAAATGCTTCTTGCTAGAGAACAAGATGTTCATTCAGAAGCTGTTCATTCAGAAGCTGTTTACCTACAGGCTTGCTTGCCTTTTCTTGGATTTACAATGTGGTCAAAGGCCTTTTTGTTTTTGTTTTTGTTTTTCATTAGATGAAGTCTCGCTCTTATCACCCAGGTTGGAGTGCGATGGCACGATCTTGGCTCACTGCAACCTCCGCCTCCTCGGTTCAAGTGATTCTCCTGCCTCAGCCTCCCGAGTAGCTGGGATTACAGGCGCATACCACCACACCCAGCCAATTTTTGTATTTTTAGTAGAGACAGGGTTTCACCATGTTGGCCAAGCTGGTCTCGAACTCCTGACCTCAGGTGATCCACCCGCCTCGGCCTCCCAAAGTGCTGGGATTACAGGCATGAGCCACCGTGCCCAGCCCCAAAGGTCTTAAACAGTGGGACAGAACCACATATACTAAGTACTTCTCTCTCTGACTTGAAATTATAATGTAGCCAGCCTTTCCCCCCCTTTTTTTTTTTTTTTGAGACAGAGTCTTGCTCTGTCGCCCAGGCTGGACTGCAGTAGTGTGATCTTGGCTCACTGCAGCTTCTACCTCCTGTGTT